GTCAGGAAATAGAAAGTGCATTTTTATCTGAAATCTTTCTGTCATAGAAAACAGGTTAAGACAACAGCCCAGGAAATATATTTCCTGACTCGTGTGCCTCAATAACTTCTGACATGCTTTAAAAACTGCTTTATTAAGAGTTTTCAGAGTGAATATTTCAGTCTTCCAGAGTAGTGTGTTCCTTCTTTTTGGATTTCCCCACCACCCCTACTACTTAATCTTTATCTCGCTTGCTACAAAGCAAGTCCATCACTATTTGTGGCAGACGTAAACATCATCTGCCTTTCTTCTTTCTGATTACCTTGTACACATTTCATAACTGTTCTATCTCCATATGTATGTTTTTCTCCTGACTACACACAAACTCATTTCTACCCCTTCTTGTATATTCCATATCACTAATCTTTCTTTTATAGTTCGATTTCTGTCAGTTTGTGGTACATTTCTTGAAGTAAGATGTCCAAAACTGGACATGGTATGTGATATCTTCTTTCAGGGGAAATATTTAATGTCTTTCATGAAGTGTTGCTATTTATGAATGCTCTTTCCCCCTTCCTTGCAAAATTGTCATAGTGAGTTTGTGATCCACTGTAATCCCAAGACTTTTCTTTCTGTAGCAGTTTAAACTAAGTAGTTTCTCATCCTGAATCACTAAAATTGTTTATCTCTACCTTTGCATGCAAAGATCAAGCCTTTATTGCAGCTTATCATTTTTCAGGAAACTTTTTGAGTTTGTCAGATCGCTTTTAGTTCTGTACCTTTCTATCGGTTGCTTCCCACTTCATTACCATTTGCAGATTTAACAAGTGTGTTTTATCTTCCCTTGTCTTAGTCATGAATAAAATGATTGAAGGGTACCAGATGTAGTATAGAGCTTTGAGCCCTCTGAGTGAATCCTTCTATTTTTGTAAAAGTTAGTGGTGGTTACTGTTCAACTGTGGCTTTATAGCTAGCTGTTTCGAACATAATGCTGAGGTGCTTATCTAAAGGTGTATGTGTTCTGCTTCCGTGTTTCAGAATTTGAGGCAGCAGATTCTCGAACTTTTGGGTCCAATTTCAATGAATCATGGTGTTCACTTCATGGCTGCTATTGCGTTTGTATGGAATGAAAGGAGGCAAAATAAAAATACTTCTAGGACAAAGGTATGTTTATACTACAGTGGTCACTTCAAGTAGTGGTAATACCTTTAAATGATGGAGAAGCAGTAAGAAAATTCAGATATTCCAGTGAAAAAATACATAGTATGAAATATGGAGAATAATTTATGTTACATTTCTAATCAGCAACTGTACTGTCAGGGAGCGACTGGTATATTTTAGAATGGGATAATCTTCCTGAATTCTTCAGGAAAAGAAGAAGTGATTCCAAGTCTCTAGATGAACTGTTACAGAATCACAGAATCGCAGAATGTTAGGGATTAGAAGGAGTCTCAAAGGATCATCTAGTCCAATCCCCCGATTGTGTTAGTTACTAACACTTCAGTCCCATGAGGCCAGCTGCCTTAATTTTGGCATAGACATTCTCTGTGATCATCATCTGTGACATACATTTGATTCTTTTAGGTTATTCCTACAGCAGGTGAAGAACAACTGCTACTGGTCGAGCTAGTTCGCTCTATCAGTGTTATGAGAACGGAGACTGTTATACAAACAGTGAAGGAAGTTTTAAAGCAGCCTCCAGCCATAGCCAAGGACAAGGTATGAAAACTGTAGAGATGCTATTCATTTATTTAATGTCCTCTTACTGAAGCTTAGAACACTGATAATATGGATGCTTCATTCACAAAGCTGAGCAGTACAGTGTGAAGATTTCCACAATATCTAATAGGTGGATGAGCTTTTGGAGGGAAGTCATGCCCCTTTAAGTCATTACCATTTACTGAACAACTCCAGAATCCTGTTTGCTGCTTCTGTACCAGACTATGTTTTGTGGGGTTGTGCCACTTACGTTAGGCAAACGTGCATACTCTAGCATCAGGTTGATTTTTTTTTTTTTTTTTTTTCAGGTAGGAAAGGGAAGTGGGGAAAAGAGGGAATTAAAGAAGAGAAGGATAACTTTATAGAGAGATGCCTAAATGGACTTTCTTAATATCCTGTTAATAAATTAAGCTATATCTTCAGACATTGCAGTAACATTATAGCATTGTCAGTTTTGCCCTGGCAAGTGAGGAAAAAGTCGCTTTCTTCTTCCTGATGACACAAGTTTTGTGTCTTTTTCTAGAAACATCTTTCACTGGAAGTCTGCATGTTGCAGTTTTTCTATGCTTATACTCAAAGGTAAGACAGCTTTAAAATTTATTTCTGTCATCAAGCAGATGGGCAATTTGAATATTTTACATCTTCTTATAATCCCTAGGATGAGAAATAGCCTGTGTAATATAAATCGTGAAGAAAGAATGGTTTTGAACTGTAGGTGTCATAAAGAAAAGGATTTATTTTGTGAGTGCTCTAGTTCTGCATCATCTTTCTTCCCCCACCTAAAAATCCTTCAGGAAATCTGCCCCCTCTCCAAGGAAAGCTGTTCTTAATTGTGCTGTCGCTCATTGGTATCCTCCAGTCTTGGACTCAAAAGTATATCTTTCAAGTACACTGTTCTTCTGCCCTCCTCCTTTTCTTAATGACTTGATGTGGCCACCTAATCTTAAATGAAAAACCAAAGAATCTGTATGAATGTTGATTGGTATTATCTGACAGGAGAATTGTGAGGTAGAAAGAAAATGGGGAATATCTGAGGGAGATGACGCTGTTTTCATTGCCATCGCTGCTCTCTCTCTTAGGATTCCAGTGACCAGCTTAGTAGATAGCTGGGCAGCACTGTTGCTTCTGTTAAAAGATTCCATCCAGGTTGGTCTTCCAGCTCCGGGACAATTCCTCATACTTGGGTAAGTTCTCTTGATATAAGCACTTGTCAAATAAGCTCAAACGTAAGTGTGTGAAATCATACTGAAGCATTAGTGTTTTCAAATCTCTATCACTTACTTTTGAGTGGTAGAGCTATTGCCTGAGTTCTGTGGGTTTTACCAAATTAGTTTATTCTCTGAGGAATGGTTACATATATTAAATTTTACTTTATAATATGATATAAGCCACGCTCTTATCTTACTGAGTATTTGAGCAATTGAAGCTCTTTAAACAGTTGGTGTAAGTTTCTGAGATTTTTTTGAAAATAACTACAATGACTATTTCTTAGATATGTGTAGATTTGTAGCCCGCTGGAAAGGATTCATTCTCTGCATGAAAGCTATTTGTGGAGTGTTAGAAATGTTGAATATTTTCTATATAAAGCTTCAAGGACTGTTTTCTTGGATTTCTGGAGTTTATTTTCCCTAGTAAACTCTCTCTAAAGATATTTTTGTGTATAGTCTAGTAAAATATGTTCTTGATAAGTTAATTTTGATCATACCATAATAGTTTAAGAAACTTGAAAGAATGTTTTCTAGAATACTGATAAGTAGCAATGGCTAAAGGTTTCGTAAATAAGTATTGTGCATGTAAATTTCTTCAGATTTTTCCTAGCTCTTAAAATTACCGAATAGTGTATTGTGAGAAGAAAATTCATATCTACCTCTGTATTTTTTCAGTGTTCTTAATGAGTTCATTATGAAAAACCCAAGCCTGGAGAATAAGAAAGATCAAAGAGATCTCCAGGTAAGAAATGTGTTGTATGTATGTCCCTATTGAAAATATTGAACAATAAATTCTTGAAGATACTAGAATTATTTCATGTATCAGTTCTGTAGTCTGAAACAACTCTTTAGTATGTTCTCCTTGGTACTCTTTATAATCTGTTGAAGATCTGATTTTCTGTGGCGTTATTGTTCACTGACAATATAGAGCAGAAGTGATTTGAAAGTAGTTCTATACTTCATTAATTATATAGATTTTCTACAAAAACGCATGAAGACAATGAAGTTCTTAAAATGCTTGGGTTTTTTTCTACCAGGATGTAACGCACAAGATAGTGGATGCCATTGGGGCAATTGCTGGTTCTTCCTTGGAACAGACTACTTGGCTAAGACGAAACCTAGAGGTTAAGCCTTCCCCCAAGATTGTGGTGGATGGAAGCAATTTAGAATCAGATGTTGAAGGTAGTTTCATTTTCATCTTTGTTTTAAACATTAATTATCAGACCAAAATGACCAAAGAGGACAGCTTTACTATATTTGAATACTTTAAAAATGCTTCAGTATTGTTCAAGCATTAGTATCTTACACTGTCTATCTGACAAAGTCTGTACATCTTCAAAAATATATATTAAAATATGCTTGTAAGGTAAACAATGGCTTAAGAAAACTAACTTTGGACATTTTTTGTTATTATCTTTATTTAGATATGTTGTCTCCAGCAATGGAAACTTCAAACATAACTCCATCTGTTTATAGTGTCCATGCATTGACCTTACTCTCTGAGGTAAATTCTTCCCAGATGTAAAAACACTGTCTTATAATAAACTTTTATATTGTGAAAACCTTTGGAATAGAAGCTTGAGGAAAGAGACTTGATGGGAAACACTGATGCGAATGGATCCTGGGTGCTGTCATGTAATGACAGATAAAACTGTTACTAACTTAATTATAGAGATTCAATGAGATGGATGATGCGTAAAGCATGACATTTCAGATGCTTAGTACAGGAAACTCTTTTGGTGGCATACTTTGTGTGTTATTAGTGGTATGTGTTATTTACTGCTGTTAGTTGCAGTCAATCTTTGAATTAGTTTGTTTGTTTGTAGCTTATTCTGTAGAATGCTTTGCCCAGGAGCTTCTGCTTCTGTGTTTTTGTTTTAATTTGCGTTAAAAATGATGGGATCTTTATACTCTGGATTTTGTATAGTACCTGAAATTTGATCACTTCTGTCATAAACTTGAATGCTCAGTAAAAGACATTATACAAAAAAAACCCCACCTGAATAGTAGATAAAGAGCAATTTGAGAGTACATGATAACGTATCTTCGTCTGCTTTTTATAGGTTTTGGCTCATCTCTTGGATATGGTTTTCTACAGTGATGAAAAAGAGAGGGTTATTCCTTTGCTTGTAAATATTATGCACTATGTTGTTCCCTACCTCCGTAATCACAGGTATCTTTATTGAATTAATGTAGATCTCTACAGCCGGTTGAAATTTGATGGGTGATGCTTAAATTGAAGCAGGCATGATAAGGATTAGATGTCTACCAAACTTTCTATAAAGCAACAATTCGAAATTGTTTCATGTTGACTTTCTTTTTTTTTAGTGCTCACAATGCATCCAGCTATCGAGCCTGTGTCCAGTTATTAAGCAGTCTTAGTGGGTATCAGTATACAAGGAGAGCATGGAAAAAGGAAGCATTTGACCTCTTTATGGATTCCAGTTTCTTCCAGATGGATGCTTCATGTGTTAACCAGTAAGGCTGTATTTCCTGCTTATATCGATGGCTGTTACAAACTTTATGTATATACCATTACACAAGAGTATATATAATGTGGATCAAAATTTCCTGACAGCTCTCTGTTGAGAGATATAAAGAGGGACGTTCTGCGTGTTAGATATCCACATGAAATGTGAAACTCACATGCCTAAGGTATATTTCTGTGCACGAGTCTATTTTTTTCAATGTAAAGATTTTTTTTTTTAATTTATTTTTTCTATGAGGAAAAAGTGGCTAACATTTTACAGAATCATACAATGGTTTGAGTTGGAAGCGACCTTAAAGATCATCTAGTTCCAACCCCCCTGCCATGGGCAGAGATCCCTTCCACTAGATGAGGTTGCTCAAAGCCCCATCCAGCCTGGCCTTGAACACTTCCACATCCAGAGGATGTGGGGTATCCAGAACTTCTCTGAGCAACCTGTTCTGGTGCCTCATCACCCTCACAGTAGAGAATTTCTTCCTTATATCTTACACATTCCTTAATCTAAATCCCCCCTCTTTCAGTTTAAAACTGTTACCCCTCGTCCAATCACTACACGCCCTTGTAAAAAGTTCCTCTCCAGCTTTCTTGTAGACCCCCTTTAGACACTGGAAGGCTGCTAGAAGATCACCCCAGAGCTTTCTCTTCTCCAGGCTGAACAACCCCGACTCTCAGCCTGTCCTCATAGAGGAGGTGCTCCAGCCCCCAATCATTTTTGTGGCCCTCCTCTGGACTCGCTCCAACAGCTCCATGTCCTTCTTGTATTGGGTGCCCCAGAGCTGAACGCAGTATCCCAGTTGGGGTCTCACCAGAGCGAAGTAGAGGGGCAGAATCACCTCCCTTGACCTGCTGGCCACACTCCTTTTGATGCAGCCCAGGATACAGTTGGCTTTCTGGACTGCCAGCGCACATTGCCGGCTCAGATTCAGTTTTTCATGCACCAGTACCCGCAAGTCCTCTACAGGGCTGCTCTCAGTCTGCTCACTGCCCAGTCTGTATTCATGTTTGGAATTGCTCCGACCCTGGTGCAGGACCTTGCACTTGACTCTGTTGAACTTCATGAGATCCACATGGGGCCATCTCTCTAGCCTGTCAAGGAACCCTCTGGATTACATCCTTTATTTTCTTTGAGAAGGGGGTTCAAAAGTGTAGTTATAGTTTCAGATCAAATCACACCAAGTAAATGGCACTTATGTAACAGAGAGCTTGGATTGGAAACCTTAGCCTGAATTAGGAAAGCAGAAAAAGCTCTGTAAATATTGCTGGAAATTCCTGATTTTTTCTTGCTTTTCTTATTTGTGTACAATCTTCACCTTTTAGTTGGAGAGCTATCATGGATAATTTGATGACACATGACAAAACTACATTCCGAGATTTGATGAGTAAGTATTTATTGATGTGGTAGTGACTTTTCTCCAAGGGAAACATTAAAAAAAGGGAAAAAAGATACCTTGAAGAAAACATTTGTTCTGCATTTATTCCAATCCGTTTGATTTATTCCATGTTTTTCATGTTTTCTTCAACTATTTGTTTCTGTAGATCCAAAACCAGGATAACTTGAAGTGAGAGAATTTGAGATCATCCTGGCACACAGTAAACTTTGTTTATATGGCAAAGTTGATTAAGCATAGCAAGTGGGGATGGTTTTTGTTGGGTTTTTTTTGTGGGTTTTTTTTGCTGTTTTTTTTTTTTCTAAGACCTGGTACTAACTCTGCTTAAGGAAAAATTGATTCTGCACATTCCAAACTTCTGAGCATCTATACCTGCAAATCACGTTTAAAAGAAATGGCTAAACTCCCTCCCGAAAGCCCCCAAATCTAGGCACTGTTGTGTATACTTACAAGTTTTCTTTCAAGATATGTTTTAAATCACTGTGGTTAAAAATACAAATTGCAGAACGTGCATCTTCTTAACATCTACTTTTGAACTACATTAATGCAGCGAAAGTAAGAGCTATTTGTTCCTTAAAGTGAAACAGAAGGGAAATTCTGAAGTTCGTCTCTGCACTGTGCGTTGTCTCTTTCAGCACGAGTGGCTGTGGCTCAGAGCAGTTCACTCAACCTGTTTGCTAATCGGGATGCAGAGCTGGAACAGCGTGCTATGCTCCTGAAGAGACTGGCTTTCGCAATTTTTAGTAGTGAGATAGACCAATACCAGAAATACCTTCCAGACATACAAGGTCAGTGAAAATGTATCGTTTAGTGGACTTCTGGACTCTGTTGTTAACTGAGGAATATTTGTATGACAGGGTAACAGCAGGTAAATTTGTCCCCCAGAATATCGATGTGCAGTAGTACCATTTTCATGGCTGGATGCAAAGTTTCTGCAGATTTTGGTCAGAACATTTTCATTCTTAAATGATTAAAAACTGCACAGTCTTCATGATTACTAGTTGACTTTTGTCTAGATTGTTTCACTGATCTGTCATTTTATACCTTGATCAATGTCCTTGGGTACCCGCAACATGCGTTTTGACATGAACATCTGAAGGTATAAACACCTATCAACTAGGGATAAATAGAAAAGCTGACCTTGAAGAGGTTTTGAATTCTCGACTTCTTTACTTGTTTATTCTGCTGTTCTGTTTATCTATCCTATTTATCACTGAAGAATATCACTTCCAGTGACCTTTTACATTAAGTGATTGGGAATGGGAGCTGCTTGGTTTTATTCTAAGATGATGCAAATAGTTAGGGCAGCAGCTTCTAGGGATACTGTCTTTCAGTGCTACCAAGGTGGACACTTTAGTCTCTTCCTCCATGTGGAAAGTCAATTGCATCGTCTTTCATGTTTCATTTGTTCCAAGATTTCTTCCTTGAAGTTGTTTTTCTTTTCCAGTCAAGTCAGTACCTGGGTTTACTATGTTGAAGACATCAGGTTTTACTGGTCTGAACTGCCAAATGCAGTGTTTGCACTAAATGCAACAAAATGTGTTGGTTTGACTGAAAAATTTGTCTATCTACCTCTGCATATACTGAATGCTTAGGGGTCGTTACAGTCAAACTAGAACGTGTCGTCTCTGTGTAATATCCCATGTTCTCTGACGATGGAGCCTTTTGGTAATAATATATCCTGGCTGTTGTTGTGTTCTTTGGAATCTGTTAACTTCTCTTTTTGTAATGGGTGAAACTGTGTAAGATCAACAGGAATCCCAGAGGCACTGTTGCATTATGTGGAGAACTTTAATCAAAATATGCAACTGCGCTGTTTTGAGGTTTCTGGCTTTTGTTCGTTGTGTGGTGAAAGTGGTTATTTTTTACGTTGACAGAATAAAACAGTAGCAAAGTATTGAAACAGTAACATGGCAGATACTTTAAAGAAGTAAAAATTGAAAGTAAATAAGGGAAGGAGATAATGCTAGTCGGAATTATTCTGAACTGAGGAAACCTTCTTGGCTTTTTGTTTCAGAAAGGCTGGTAGAAAGTCTCCGTTTGCCACAGGTGCCCACCCTTCATTCCCAAGTGTTCCTGTTTTTCAGAGTATTGCTTTTAAGAATGTCTCCACAGCACCTTACCTCACTTTGGCCGACCATGATCACTGAACTGGTGAGTTGCTGTTAGCATTCATGATTTGGAAGACTGGTGCAAATTTGAGATGCAACCTCATTCCTCCCCAAAGATATCTAAGTATCTTTTAGATATTGTGCACGTAAATGTACAATGGACACAAATTGAAAGCTGACTTATTTTCATATTCCCAATGTCTGTTTTTCGCAACCAAATAGTGTCTGTTGGCTTACACTATTTAAGCTGTTCAGGTATCTCCTGGATTAAATTTGCATTTGCCCTCGTTGTTCCCTACTCACTCCTACTTCAGTTTCTGCCTGCATGTGTGTACCCTCTCTACCATTCCCAGTCCTGCTCTGCTCAGTGTTCCATGTTTCTACTTTCCTGATCATTCAGCTCTCTTGCTCCAGCAATGAGAATGAGAAGCCACATAAAGAAGTAGTCAGAATCTGTGTTGTGTTGGCAGTTGGTGGTCATTCAGATCACATTGTGGCTGAAGTTTTGTAACAAAATTTATACAAGGCTTGACTCAGCTTTCTTCTTCCTCTTGTTTTACTCTGCATAACAAGACAGGATAAACATCTGTTTTCCGAGCTGCTACCCATGGAGTCTCCAGTGTTGGCTTTGATGCACTCTTTTGGGTTTCATCTTTGGCAATGGGAATGGAGGAGAGTGGTTTGTGGATCATGAGGTCTGTTTAGCCTGTTAGCCAAGATGTTCCCAAGGGGCTAGCTAACACAGATAGCAAATCAGAATCACTGCTGTGGGTCTTTTTGTTTCCTTTTTTGGTTTTTTTGGGTTTTTTTTTGTATTTATGGGTGCCTAACCTAGCCCTTAGTTAACCACAGATCTAAGCAATAGAAGGAGTAAAGCTATATAAAGTATTTCAAGGATGAACTGCATTGGTTTAACAATAGATGCATTTAATTTTGAGCCTGTCAACAGTATAAATACTAGGAAACCCATTCTACTCAGCGTGGCACTCTGATACCTGTGCTGTCCCCTGGCCTTTACGCGTTACCACAGTCCTGGAACTACTTTCAGTGGACAGGACTGTGTTACTTCTGGAGATTCACATCTGAGCTTGACTGCTCTGTTACATGATTCTTTATTCTCATTTCCTTTTGGTCTTGCTCCCTTTCTAAGTAGTGAAGGAAATTAGCCTCTGAGAGCTTTCCTGGCCATAAAAGAGCCAGTTTCTTATGGCCCTTGTGGTACTCAGGCTATATATAAGGGATGAAAGGACTTTAAGGTGTCAGTGTCCACTCATAGTTCAGGGGGTTATTTCATCATCCAGGAATGGAAATAAAGCTCCAAACAGTTCCTCTAAGGTTTATTACTCAAACCTCTCTACAGCATTTTCCTGAGTCACAGTCCATAAAAAAAGGTATTAAAACGTAGCATTTGATCTCCAGGTACAAGTATTCTTACTGATGGAACAGGAGCTCACTGCTGATGAAGACATTTCCAGGTAAATTTATGAACTTCCAGCTTGTTTAACTTGATAACAGTCTCCTGGCATGCTGATGTGCAGTTGAGTCTTTCTTTAGACTAATTTGTCTTGGAAAGAATTGTCAAGCTCAAATGAGATGTAAAACAGTCAAGTAAAGGGTAATTCAGTCTGACTGCAGTACCAAGGGCATGCCGATCAGGACAACACACAAAAAAATAAATCCCACTGTCAGATTGCTCATAAACCACTAAGATAAATTATGCAATGCCAGTATGTTAGTTCTTCTAATGTCTTCCTGGCTAAAATGACACTGCTTCCACAATTAAAATATGCAGGGTGTGACTTCATAGCTTTTTTGGTATCATACACTTATTTAGAATAAGACTGATGCACTTTTTTTTTGTCTAAATAAAAATGTGATTTCTTCTAGTGTTAGAAAGACATGAAGATGAGGTTGATAATTTTTCTTGTTTCAGTGTCCATTTCTGTCCTATGTACCTTCTGCACAGTATATGATCCAATTTCAGTGAATGCTATCAGTAGAGGCAGATTTCTCAAAAGAACAGAAGTTGTTTGCCTAAGTCTTGTTCTTTACTTTTTTCTAGATTCCCTTTGTTATTTCAAAGAAATTTTCCCTAAAATAAAGTAATAGCTACATGATTGGCAATTATAAGCTTTCTCTTAATTTGGATGTCTGATGGCAGTGAATTACAGTGTAACATGTTTATTATACATTAACATTTTATCTTATCTATGTTTTATGCATATATATATATACACACACACACACAAAAAACTCCACCCATAGCACAGACTTGCAGTGTTCTGGTTTGATTTATAGATTCAGGATTAAGTTTGTAAATAGGGAGTTATGTGTTTGTAAAGACAAGTAAGAAAGGTGATGTTCCCATAGTGACAGAAGGCTGTTGTGACTCACCTGCCTGCTATAATTTATTTTAGAACTTCTGGCCCATCTGTTGCTGGTCTGGAGACGACGTACACAGGTGGCAATGGTTTCTCCACATCCTACAATAGCCAGAGATGGTTGAACCTGTACTTGTCTGCTTGCAAATTTCTGGACTTGGCCCTAGCTTTACCATCTGAAAACCTGCCTCAGTTTCAGATGTGAGTAGAAGACACTGTCACATCAGTTTTTCGATGTTTGTCCGTGCCTCTTGGTAAAATTCTAGTGTATAAAAATCTTTATTTTCCTATTTCCTTTCCTTTTCTGGCCTTCATCTAGGGCAGCCCACAGTTCATTCCCTCCCAGTATCAGAGTGGACCCCAGAGCAAATGGTGCTATGCACCAAATGAATTCAAGGTGGTTTGATTTAGCCTGTGCAAGAGATTCTCCAGACTTGTGAGCTAGTCAGTAATAGTGATTTATTCAAGTATTTTGGTTTTAGATCATTTAGTTGCAGTAATGTCTAAGAACTTGAAGTACACCCACACGTCTCGATGACTAATGCATGAGATCAGATGGCTGTATGTCGTCTCAGCATGAGTTACTTGAATACTGCTGCGTGATCTGTCTGGAAGATGGTGCAACAAACCTGCTTGTGGAGGGGACTCCATAGGTTTTTCTTGGTAGCAGAAAAACAGTAGTGTTTATGTGTGCAAACTGCTTCCTCAGTGCCTCTGCAATCCTGTTCTGCTGGAAGAATAATGAATGCAAAACAACTGACATTTGCTGAAGACCCTAGAAACGACGGGCCACTAAGGACAAAAGAAAGTATCTCCTCTCTTCCTTTACACTGTTCAGTGGTGACCATGTGAGAGCTGCTGCCTTGGCACAGCTCTCTAGACGTTTGGTCGCCTCTAATTATCCTGTTATTTAAAAAGGCACTCGTGGGCTAGAGGGTAGGAAGGCTTGCACACACTATGTCAGTTTGTGCCCTGTAATATTTCTACATCTAAAGCTAATCTTGAAAAATCCTTCATTTATTTTATTTTCTGGGGATTTGGCTTGTAATTCTTGTTCGATTCTCTAAGATGTCCTAATCCCCACTGTTAGCCAACCTAGTTTTATTTAAGTCATTAATGTACATTTTTGGAAAGATAATAGTCATGGTGAATCATGTGGTCTTTTATGGTCTTCTCCTGGAGGCCTGGATTGAAGTTTTAAGGACAGAAACTTTGGTTTCCTTTATAATACAGTGCAGCAAGGTGAGGGGAAGGGAACGGTCCACTTGGTCTCATTGTCCTATGAATAGGTAAAATAAATGAGTTTCTATTATCAACATGGTATACTGAGAACACTTTGTATCTTGTAGTAAGCATTGCAAATGTGCAGCAAAATGTCTTAAGTAACTTCTATATTTTAAAATTCAGAATTGCTTTCAATTCTCTTGCACACAATGAAGATGTGAATACTACTGTTTTTAGCTTCTCTGCTTTATCCTGCTCTTGGCATCCTTAAATACTTCAAGAAACTCTAAAGGAAGAAGACAATGGTACAGTCTTGGCCATGTTACCTTCGGCTTCCTTTCCTATTCTTTCATGTCAAAGACTGATGTTTTTTGCGTGGGTTGCTTTTGGTTTTTTTCTCCACATCTTTCTTTGATACTTAACAAGATTTCTTTATCCTCTCGTATTTTTAGATTTAGCAGAAAAGCCTGCATGTTCAGTAAGGATAATGTCCACTTGTGTTATCTCATGACAGGTATCGTTGGGCTTTTATTCCAGAAGCATCAGATGATTCGGGTTTGGAAGTACGCAGACAGGGTACACATCAGAGGGAGTTCAAACCATATGTGGTACGCCTAGCAAAACTGCTGCGAAAAAAAGCAAAGGTATGTCCAGTTTTGCTTTTCATTGAAAACTTTGATGTGTATCAACTTACAGCACTGTTTTGTTTTGGATATCTATTTATTTTTAACAACAAAGAATGGAAAGGCATTTATCTGATGTGGGAGATTCCCACTGGAGTAATCTCAAGTCAGCATGAGGCAAAGACCACATGTAGGTATACAAAACAAAAACAACAAAAAAACAACAAACAAACAAACAAAAACACCACCAAAACAAAACAACAAAAAAAAACCAAACCAAAACAATCAAACAACAAAAAAAAACCCAAACCTGCTGTGATCGAAAAAAGACTATGGTCAGTGACTTTGGAGTTTCCAATGAAAAGCATTGTTTGTAGTATTTAAGTAAAAAGTAAAATAGGCTTCAGTGTCTGTTATATTTTAACATAAAATCACTTTCAGATAGCCAGTCATATACGTAGATACTAGTACAACTAACTGCCTTTCCAAGTAGGAGAGCATATGTGTAAAGGAAAAATCAGTTTTAACTGACTGCTAATAGGGCTTTAGCCTCTAACCCTGATGTTCAATGTCGTGTGCTGTACCTGTTACAGTCGTCACACTCCAAATAATCTCTCTGCATGAATTATAGGTAAAATATACGTGCTGGTAAGTACTGTATGTTGAGATAGACGCCTGAAGTCAGGACTTCCACAGTATGCTTCGAGAATATAGAAAACTTTCTGGAATTTCTGGAACCCCCTAGTCACAGCAGCAGTTGCACACTGTGAACCATAGCTAGGGGTATGATGATGAGATAAACATGAGGTAATGAACACTGACTTCCAGGCCATTTCTTCTTTGTGCAGAGGAGAATACTGTTGCATATAGCTGCGGGTTTTTCTTAGAAAATAACTGTTTCTGAGCAACACGTTTCAGTGGATCTTAATTTTCCTTCAGGCCACTCTGACTAATGCTTAGGTTCATGTACTATGGCGTTGCTCAGGCTCTGTTGTCTGAAGGAAACATGCTTAAATAACTCTTTTGGCACTACTGGCAATAAACAGAACAACAAACTGGCAGTGCTGTTATTGTCTAATAGTCTTGGCCGCACTAGCCCCAGAGTCTGCTGTTTCTAGACCATAGACTCTTTGGGGCAGGTGGTTTTTCTAGCTGAAGCACAGCACCCAACCAAGCAACTGCACGGCCTTCACGGCAAAGTATTATTTTGATATATGAAATGCAGTCTGAAAGTTCTCCTCTTTCCTTCCACAGGACAAACAGGAGGACTTTAAGACGGTGGTTTTGGAGGGAATGGAGATGGCCAAGCATCAGGTGAGGGTGGCCCTTTGATGCTTGAGTTGTGAAACAAGCTCACCATAATAATACCATCACCTCAAGGCCCTGGGCAGTATTTAGCTTTCAGTAAGAACTGAGAGAGATGAGTCTTGTTAGAGGACAAAGTTGAGAGATTTTGAAGTGAAAGAATCATTTTTATAGCTAACTTAAAGATTTATTTTTAAGTTGGTTTCCTGCATGAAAGAGATTACAAAAAGTTAGTGTTAGTTCTAAGAATTATGGTCACAAATCGTTACATGAAATTAAATAATTTTTGCCAAACGGCAGATGTGAAATACACAACCACAACCCCTAATCGCTCTCTGTCAAGTTAACTGTTGTTTTAAGCATCTGAGGAATTAGTGGTGTTTGCTTAGCAAATGCTGCCGTGAGGAAATGGCTTGGAGGGATTGTATTTCATTGTTCAGAGAGAGAATTAGTATTTGCACACGCACCACGTTTGGTTGGCGGCTGCGTAACAGCGACGCTTGCTGCGTGCTGGAGGCGGTCCGTGCGCACCGCCAGGTAATACTGAGCCTCTCTTCTGTGAAGTTTTTAAAGGAGAAACTTTAAAAACTAGTAGCTTCATTAAATGTAGGAGGCATCAACAAGTGTTTCTGTGTTGGAGTTCAGTCTTCCCTTTGTTCTAGTTCATTATGATCCTTTCTTTTCTTGAGACTTGAAGAGCTAGAACGGTAGTCTCCCATGACAGGGAGCCAAACCACCAGACTGAAGTGCTGAATACGTTCCTATGTAATTTTAACCTAGCTGTTTTTTGTGAAATGGATGTCATGCAGGCTCCTGAATCGCAAGACAGTATCTTTGTTTAAAGGGCAAAAACTGTATTTGCTAAAGTATCATCTCTCGAAGAAAATCTGTTTCTCAAACACTGTGCCGTCAGAAATCCTTACCTTATGCTCTGCTCACACAGCTGTCCTTTCCCTTTCGTTTTCCTTTCGTTACAAAGCCTGCTCTTCAGGAGCTGTGCGGGCTGCAGGGGTCTCGGTCTCTCACCTCCCCAGAGGCATTGCCAGGGTCACAGGAGAGAGGCACTGGGCAGGGGCAGATCAGGAGGTGCCTCTCCTTGATGTGGCCTTTGTGCTTCTCTTCTTCCTCACAGATCAAAAAACAGTACTACTGGAACTTCATGGTAGCAGCTCTCCTGTGCTGGTTTGTCAGCAACGATCCAGACACGGTGTTTCTAATGGTGATAGTACCTTCTTGTCTAGTTTTGAATATGGTTTTTGACTTGAAAGAAAAAAAAAAAAAAAAACAAGAAAAGAAAGGAAATGGGCGAAGAGTACCATACAGAATCATAGAAGAGTTTGGGTTGGAAGGGACCTTAAAGATCATCTAGTTCCAATCCCCCTGCCATGGGCAGGGACACCTTCCCCTAGATGAGGTTGCTCAAAACTGCATCCAGCCTGGCCTTGAACACTTCCAGGGATGGGGCATCCACAACTTCTCTAGGCAACCTGTTCCAAGCAGCTGGATGTTAGCGCTCAGGTCTTTCCATGTGCAGCTATTTAAGGCAATCCTAAACAGGGTTACAGCAGTGTACTGACACTGCCTGTGAGCATCTGGTGTGTGACTGCTGCCTTTGCCAGTGGGGTTCCTGAAATTCTCACCCTTGAAATTCCCCCCGTGAAATGGAAGATGCATCACCGGGGTCTTCTGAGAACACACAATGAGTAACTGAACCTTTTTCCTTTGAGGACAACTTCAAGTGTTTGCTTGGAGCCTCCACATGTGTTATTTCTGATACTAAAAACAGCACTGCTTTTGCTCTTCCTGAAAACTCTGAACCCTTCCTTCAAAGTGAAAGTGCTTTGTATCAGTTTTAACTCCCTCTGGGCTTTATTTGCGCTAATGCTGGCTGTAGGGTGAAGCGTGGTCAGAGACCAGCCTCCTTCGGAAAGCAGCTGAAGCAGCACACAACTCACCCAAGCAGCTGGAGATACCGGCTGTCACCAGTTTGGGCTGTTTATGTCCCCAGTGGGATGCCGCACCAGGAGCGGAGCAGCTCTGCAGGGCAGGGGACAGCCCTGGGCTGAGGCGGCGACCTGGAACACTCACTGCAGCTCTCCCGTTAGTGCCAGCCCAGCAGCTGCCAGCCCGTGTGCTCTGAGCCACGGCTGCTGCGGAGCGTGGTGAGGGGAGGAGCAGATGATCTGCTGCAAAAGCTGCAATCCAGCATATCTGTATTTAATTGATAGGACAAATAGTTTTGGAATACGGAAAAATACTGTATCGGGCATTAGTCTTTATTTTCACCTGTGTTTTTTCTGTTCTGTCTTGTGTTTCTCTGTATTTCCAGAAAAACCCAGAGGAGGACAGCTCAGGGAAAATGCTAAGCTGGGAGCCAGGTCACTTGCTTTTAACCATCTACACCGTTCGCAGCATTGAGCAACTTTTGCCTTTTTTCAATGTACTCAGCCAAGTTTTTAACAGCAAAGTCACAAGCAGATGCGTTGGACACTCAGGGAGCCCTGTCCTTTACCCCAACTGTTTTCCAAGTAAGGACATAAAAATGGAGAACCTCAAGACCTTCTCCAGCAAAGCAAGACAAAAGATAGAAGAAATGGTCGAGAAGGATTTTCTTGAAGGTGTCATAAAAACATGAACCAAACTGGTACTATTCAGCTTATATGTAGTGTAACTATTTAAATGAAATACTGTATCTTTCCCGGTTGTATAGTATTCTTTTCTTACTTTGTATGTAATGAAATACTTAATGTTGTATTTAAGTTAAATATTTGTAAATAAGAGAAAAGTTCTGGGTGTGGCCTGAATCAAGTTTAAATATTGGTGGCTCATATTGATTATGGTGCCTACTATTTACAGTACATGTTTTGTTGTCTTGAGTTCTGTCTTCAAAAAATCCTAAAAAAAAAAAATACAAGGTGCACATTTTTTCAATTTGTTTCCAGTTTATTTTTGTGTTGTTGTTGTTTTTTTTTTTTATCAATTGGAACTTATTTATCAATCTGGAAAATGCCATTATGTCAGGAGTTAATACATGACTAAAACAAAAAATACATTTGTCAGCGGTAAATACTTGAACCGAAATGCCCAGGTGAGGATACTTGTGTATTTAAAATGTTACATCCCCTTGGCCCTGCCCCTTCACCCTGCTGGGGAGCAGTAAGGGCCACAGAAGACAAACTTGTCTCTGTCCCTTCCCTCTGCAAAGTGATGATAAATACTATTACAGCAAATGCCTTGCTAATTTCCATACTTCAATTTCATAGAAGTATCTAATGAAGATAGCATTGCAATCAAGTCACTGTACGCAAATGCTCTTTCACTATATTGTTTCCCCCTTGAACTGAGGTGAACTGACTCTCCAGACCAGAGCCAGCCTCTGCCTCGTCCTGTTTGCCCGCCGATGACTCAGTTTCTGCGGGCAGGCGGGGGATGATGCTCCTGCAGCAGCACGCTGTGCTGCAGCTGCTGCGCGCACAGTTGCAGCAGAGCTCGCGCTAAATGCCGCTACCGTGAGCGCGCTGAGGGCGGGGGCGTCGGACCTCAGGCACAACGTCACAGTAACTGATGAAACAAGCTGCGTGGGGGGCAGAATTCCTTCTGGGCATGGCCGGGCCGCTGACAGTCAAGAAGCGGGTCCCCTCTAAGTCAGTCAGTTCAGCTTCCAAAGTCAGGCAAACATTCAGCAGCCGGAGCACCGCAGTAAGAGGTAAGTTGCTGACAGAGGTAAAGAATCAGTGGAATAATATTCCGCTCGGTTCTGATTAATCCTTGCTACTCTCAGGAAGGGTTGGGTATGTCTACACTAGCAAATAGTAAAGATAGTAATATTAAAAAAATCAGTCAAGTTTTGAAGGTCACTTGCAGCTGTATTATTTGTTACATAGGTTGGGGTGGCGCTCCTTTTCCACCAGCGAGGTGGTAAACAGCCAGGCTTACTTCATGGGCGAGGGCATCCGCGTTCTCCTGTGGAATGTTTTACACGTTAGTTAACATTGGTGTTGGCATGAGAAGGTTTACAGCAAATGTGCACTACTCAGGCAAGAGTTTTCTTGCAAATGCTGGGTTCCCTACATCGCCCTGTCGTGCTAAGATGCATCAGAAGGCTGATTGTCTTTTCAAAATAATTTAGTGTCAAATCTGCCTTTATAAACATCTAACTTTTACTTTTGAATATAAACATTAACATTAGACATCGCTTTTATGAATATAAGAACACACAAAGATTTTTTTTTGTGATCACTAGGATTGATTTTCCAAATTTTAGCACCTGTTATGTTTGATTAAATGATGAGTATGTAAACATACTCCCTCCATCAACCCCATGCTAAGCAGAAGTTCATTTAACATAAACAACTTGTATACAAGGTGGATTTGTTTAAGCTCTGACCTGTGTGTCTGCTTCAGCATATATTCTAACTACGTCTTCTGTGCCTGATGGACGGACAAACGCTCGTGACAATTTATACTTCTTCACAAGGGCATCAATTTTCTCCTGCAGTCCCGGAGGTGTAACCGCACGCCTTTCTGCATCCGTCGTGTCAATAACTCGCCTGTCTGCAACCTGCAGCATCAGAAACAGACAAGTTATTTGTGTGCTGGAGCTGTATGGCGAGAGCAGAATGAAAAAGCTCATGGGTAAGACAGAAGTTCAGCTTTTGATGCGTTGCACTGCCAAAGAGGAGCTCAATCTGGGAGTTCCCTGCTTAACTCAAATGCTTTGGGATCCCTACAATGCCTGCTCAGCTACTGCTCAGCAGCTATTAACCAAAAGTCCTGATAGGATTCAGCTGCTTTGTTTGGAAAAAGGGTTCAGTTCTGAACATGCCTCCTTGGTCAGCCTCTGAACTGAAGCTACAGCATCTCCCAGCAGATCAGAAAGCTTAAGCTCTCTCCTCCCTTACTGTGTCTAACAGAATGCTGCCATGAGGGAGCCTGTGCCTGTTCTGCTCAAGCTCTTTGTATGATGTGAATGTTCAAGGTCTTACTTCTTTATCTGCTCTGATACTCAAATAAAGCAGCACAGCAAGAAAAATCCAGCTTCCCAGCAGGCAGGGGCCTTAGAAAAACAGGATTTTTCTAATTTGAAAGTTAAGAAAGAAATTCTAAGTTAAAATTTGAACAGTTTTGGTCAGGTTTTTTCCATTTAACATAGCTGGCTATTATTTCATAATTTGTATAACTCATTTTTATTTTAGTCCAAGTGAAATTCTGGTCCTTCCTCTGGGTTGTTTTGTGGCTCGCTTGGCCTTCAGTGGGCTGTTTCAGCTTTAAAATAAAGCTTATCTAAACACATGCAGGCAAGAGCTGCTCACAGCAGGGCTGCTGTAACCTGAGCCAGTGTGGCACGTAACTCACCTGGACTTTGAGCAGCCGATTAGGGAGGTCAGTGTAGACGGCGTCCCACTGTTGCACAGTCAGACCTTTCAAAGCCAGAATTGCTTCAATAACCAGCATGTCTGAGACAGCATCGCCAACTGTCTGTGAACAGGAAGGGAAGAAACACTGGAGCAGTCAACAGTGAAGAAACAAAGGCATGATTTGATCAGGAAGCTTCCAGCTGAAGAGAGTGAAAATGCAGCCAGGCTGACTTGTCTCAGTCTGGGTGGGTGGGTGTGTTGGTTTGGGAGGTGGGGGTGGTTTGTTTTTAACTCCTTACCACGCTGACCCTGTGGTGAGAACACTGGCATGCTTGTACAGCCCTGCCAAGGGCAAGTGCTGGTCCTCACCTCTCCTAAGGAGGGCTGGCACCTCACCTTTGTTCTGGGGTCAGGATGCTTAAAGCTGACCTGTGGGGAATATGATTTGGCACCACCCCAGATGAAGATGTCTGTGTTAGGACAGGGAGGCCCAGGGCTGTGTGGACATGGGCACTGGAACTCCCACCAGTTAGTGAAAAACATCAGGTGAATGATTACTTGCTGTTGAATCATGAACAAGTCACATCCTGTCACTAGGTTCCCATGCTATCCCACTAACTCTTTGGGTCCTGAACCCAGAAGACTACACCAGATAAAAGTGTTCTGCATCCATTTGTGAGACAGTATCACATCTTTCTGAGGACTGTTGCTGCTCTTTTCTTCATGGCCCCTTCTCTCATGGCTGCAGCAGTCCCTGGCAGTACCTGCCAGGTACTCAATAACAGGGTTAGCCCCATGACTGTCACCACAATGATTTGTGTCTCTCTGTTTTTACCTGATTAATAAGGTCAATCATGTTTCCAAGCACCTTCGCTGCTTCCCTTTTTTCATCATCTTTCTCCTCTTTTGCCAGTTGTCTTATTTTAGTTTCAGCAGCTTTACTAAATAATACCTAGAATAAAAAAATGAGAGCTTGTCAAGATCAGCCCACATCATGAACTAGGATAGGTGCAGCAATGAGGAAAAAGCTTTTACCATGTACGTTCAAATAACCATCATTAATGTTTGCTTTAATTAATTTAATTAATGCATTCCCATCCCCACATAAAACAGAGAAGTTGGTGGCAATGTTAAGGTAAAGACAGAAGGGGGAAACAAGTCTGTTGTCAAACAAGGAGAGAAAAGTCTTGTTTACAAATGGAAGCAGAGAGTGAAAAGACCTCTTTCTCAAGCTAATCCAGCTAAATTTTTGTACATATTGGCTGATCCTATGTGGCACATGCTCATACTTACTGTACCATGTCCGTTTGCCTCGAAATAAACACCAACATCAAACTCCTGGGCCTTGTGATGCAAGTGTTTCACTCCTGTCTTGACACAGTGCACAGGTACCTGCGGCCCAAGGATACGCAGAGATGTGAACGGTGTTAGAGACTCTCCTCAGCAGACTGGAACTGACCACCAAGCTGGGCAGACTGTTACAAACTAACCTGTGTTTCACAGCTATGACTCCACAGAGCTAAAATTATCCACTATTTCTGCAGGCCTGACTGAAAAGAAGATTTCATTTCTTCAAGTGGAAATAAAGGCTGATTTAAAAAAAAAACACAAAACAACAAGCAACAAAAAAAACCTTCCTACAAACAAAACCCAAATCACAAAAACTCCAACTCGTTTTGTGGTTTCAGAGAACACACCAGATTTCTATCCAAACTGAAATAATATCTTAGCTTAATTTCCCTAGAAAATAGCATTTAGCCTGTCACAGAAAAGGAAACGACCAGCGTCAGAAGTATCAAGGAGCCTTTACTACATCTCACTTCATTGCAAAGCCATAAATTCCTCAACTGGTTCCAGAAGTAACAAGGAAATTTGTTTAGCTTTTGCCAAACTTTTTTTATAAACTAATAAAAGCTGACTAGAACTTTTTCAGTGCTTGTCTCTCCTTTACCATCAAGAATTTAGTTGCTACTGCATGTTTTGAACAAGTCATTTATTTTAGCCTGGTTTAAGTTTTCCTAGCAATCCTATTACAATAGCATTTATTTGAAAACTAAACAAATTTGCAGTACAAAACATTTGCAGAACACTATCAGGAAAAAAATGGAGAATACCTTCAGTGTTTCCTCAAGGTAGCGTGTCGAACTCCCGTTGGCATATGCTGTTTGTACCACTGCCATCTCTAAGGTCTGTCCCACCTGAGCAATCCAAGAAGTAAAAAGTGCTTTACTGTGCGATAGGCACATAGCCGGAGTAGGATAAATGGAAGAATAATCAGAATTATTGGACATACATTCTCCTACAGACACTTAAAACTCCTGGGCATCAGAGGGAGGCTGCAGCTCACAGAGAATTTCTGTATGTTTAAGACAACACGAATTCTGTTCAAGTCTTTTGTGTATCATATTTTTGTGGCTGACTTGAAGCAGCTCTCCAAGCTTAGGCTTTCCAAATCCCTTTTTCGGATTCAGCAAGCTCAGTGCACTGGCTGGACACATGGTGTTACATGAGGCCATGTACACAAACAGTAAAGTCAAAGCTTCCAGTAC